ATTGTGAACTGCACTGTTTTTCCATGGGACTGGTTCCTGCTTGCGATGCAACGTGCATCAAATTGGACAGTCATTAAAAAAAAGTGGCGTATATATTATTTATAATAACTCAGATTTTACTTGGCCTATCCACAAAATTTTAAAATTKATTTTAAGTTTGAAGTCTACTGGCTCTTTCAGAAGACAGTACTGATTGTTGACACTCACCTTGGCAGTTCAGAAGTCACAGACAGACGCTCTGTTACTGCGCTCAAACAGGCTTTCAAAGAACATTACCCAGTGTGGGATTGCGTGGACAAAAACACGGCTGCCCTGGTGTGCTGCTGTCACTCAGGACTCTTGTCCCTTATTATATTGCAGAGAACAAAAATTCAACCATKTACGTCTTTTAAAGGTTTAAGTTTCAAAATATTCTGAGTCTTAAGGTTGTATTCATGTGTTGGATAATTTTAGTCTGTATTTTAGTCGGTATTTGTGCCAATAAAGTTTTATTTCCTCTGCACATATGTAAGTGCAGCTCAGGGGGATTAGGGGAAAAAACACCGAAAGTTTAAATCTGGTGTTTTGATTTAAGAAACCCACAGCTTACGGTTGTATTTCTAGTTGCTGGATAATTTTATTTTATTCAGTATTTGTGCCAATAAAGTCTGTTCATTTCCTCCTCTGCAYGTATATGAAGTGGAACTCGTCAGGCTTAAAAAAACAAACAAAAGAAAAACAGCAATCTGATGTTTGATTTAAGAAACCAGAGGCTGGTTCGTTCCAGAAGGTGTCAGTCAGAACTACGCCGGCCCACATTCTCAGGAGTCTGATGTAACATGTCTGTCACTACCTCGCTTGGAGGTTCAGAGACAGACGTGGATATTTCTGTCACCCCACTCCGCTTCCGAATGAGCCAAGGGATCAGAACATACATCGGTAACGGTAGCCTTACTTTTGACTCAAATTTAAACAGAATCGGAGAGTAGGTGTATCTCCGTCTAAGCGGACATTATCAGTTAATCGAATGGAACAAGTTTTAATCTAATAAACTATTATTCGGTTAATTGTGTCGTGACTCATTATCAGTTGCTTTTATACATCTACATAAAATTAATTAAAAAAAAGTTAATTGTTGTTTGTCACTGCGCATACGTTGGAAAGACTTTGAACTGAAAACAAACACATGTAGTGCAGCTAACTTAGGTTTAACAGACTAGTGTTTAATTTGCACTTATATGCATATGAAAGCATTTGAATTAAGCTCTGATATAAGTTTTTTTTAGCAATGTAAGTATTTCTTAGAACATTTTAATAATTTAGCATAATTTGCTGAATTTTAAACTTGTGCTAAAAATCAGTTCAYCTTTTTATATTTAAAAAGCAGTCCATAGTTGCAAAAGAGATAACAACTATTTACACTTACTGCTTTACCTGTTTGTTCTTGTTCGACTTGTTTGGCCTTTCTACAGTTAGTATCAGAAATATATAAATATTGCCTGTATAATAAACATTTAATGTTAATTAGACAAACACCAACATAAACAATTTGCTAAAAAGCAGACTTGGATAAACTGTGATCTAAATCAGTAGTTCCTAAAGTTGGGATTGGGACCCCTTTTGTGGGTCACGAAACATCAAGTAAGGGTCCCCAGATGATTTCCAGACATCAGTTTCAATGCAAATAAATTGATAATGGAATATTTTCACCATGATTATTGCAATTTATTTTATAATAATCATAAATGAATAAAATATAGTATCATACTTATTAGGTTTGTTTATATTGTTATTATTCCCATGTGTAACAGAGGTATTATCAAAGTTTGCATACAGAAACAGGTAATATCTGGGGTCACGAATTTCTGCAACTATTATTTGGTGGGCCGGAAGATAACAAATTTGAAAACCATTGATCTAAATCATAGTAATCATAAGTGCTTTAATAAAAGAAAAGTTTACTCTTTTTCTTGCCTTTCCCATTCATTTCTTATCAATTCAATTTCAGAATAAAAAATAACAATCTTTTAGAAAATAACTCAGTTGGTAGAGTGACGTTTCARTTACTGGGTTAATATGGGAAAATGTTTCTTTGTCGGTTCACATGTGGAACTTGGATGAAAATACCAACACCAAATTGTCACCAGTGTCGTTTTCACTTGTGTTTTGAGTAAACATGTTTATTAAATGAGTATAATATAAAGTAAAAATATGAGCTAATCGGTTGGATGCACATGTACCTTCATTTATCTTGTCATTACTTGAYTTGAGTCATGCATCACTAAGTCAGTGTCCAATAAAACAAGCAAATTAAGTGTGGAGCCAGGCAGGACAGATACAAAGTATAATTTGTCACTCTTATTTTTAAAGAGAGAGCCTTCCTGATGTGGATCATGCACTACCAGTCATAATTGCTGCTAGCAATAATCTCACATTATAGCTATATTTACAACATCTGGCTTAAAACTGGATCTAATGTAAAAMTGCTCTGATCATTCTTGCTTTAATGCTCATTTAATACATTTTACTCTTTAGTGTTTGTTTATTGTTGTAGTTGTAAATTAAAATCAATAACAGATAAAGAGCCAAAAAGCTTGTTAAGGATTTTGCACATTCTATAATTTGAAATCTTGAAGGATACAGGCATATTCACTCTAACAGTTTATTCTCTCACATTCAGTGCAAAACTATGGATTTTTCTCAACTCTAAAATCATATTCCTTTTTGACCTACATTCAAAAATGTGTATACTATTTTTTGTTACAGTAATTTATGAATGCATTTGTTGATTATGTCGTCATGACATTGTATCTCAATCTCAAAAGATACTGCTGCCACAATTTATATTAACTTTAAGAACACCAGGACTGTTTGCAGTATATTGCCAATAGATGGGATGTTTTAAAACATCCCATCCCATCATGGACTTATACGTTTGAGCCATTGATTTTATATAAAAATACTGGAGCAGGATCCCAGGAGTGAAAGCCAAAATTGACACAACATCCCCAAAGACTACTAGCTTTAGGTCCCAGCCCACTGACTCTCTGCGTGGTTCTTACTTTGCTGCTACTGTTTTTTTTAAATATTCATTTTTTAAGTAAAGTCCTTGTAACACCATTGTGAACAGGGAAGTGGTGTTATTGTTACTATGTCATTAGTTTAAAAACTATTGTGTATTTTGTTGTAAATAGTCGAAACTTTTCAAATAGTTAATTCCACTGGTACAGGAGACAGGGTGCTATGTTAAAAACTGTAAAACTAGCATTAAGTTCCCCTGATTTTTATTTTTATGTGAAAAACACCATACAACAAATGAACAGTTTCATCAATGTGTGTGATCAAGAGACTTTTGGGGGTCTTTGTAACTACTGATTTAGGTCAAATCAATTTTTCACATGCACATTGTGTCTATATAGCTGGGACCATGTCTTTTTTAAAGTTGAAATTTGGTTTTGTCTCCCACCTGACAGAACTCATTTTAATTTCATTTACCATGGTCCTGAACAACCGTTTTTAGCCAGATTATATCCAGATCATCTTCTGTACTTTACCTCCACCTACTGGCTGGTTGTGTAACTTCATAAAAATGGAAAATGTTTTTATTATAATCGTTCAGCAGGCATTAACTTGACAAACACAGCATTCCAATTGTGACAAATATTAATGAATAAGACCTGAGCAATAATGTCACAATAGAATTTTGTGTGTWTGATAAGATTTTAAAAGAATCCTGGGACTTAATGCAGGTTTGTTTCCTATTCATAAATTCAGTCTGTGTTTAGTTTGCCAGACTGTATCATTGCTGTTATTTAGGAAAACGAGATACTTCTGTTGCAGTTAAAAGTGAYGTTATTCATATTCTCTTCCAGTTCGTTCCGGGACGTTGTGCTACTAAGCATTACATTTTTTTAAAATGGAAAAATCTGTGTTGAAATGTAATAAATTTAAAACATGCTATGTCATGTCATGGAATTGAAAATGTTGTAGYCAAAGCCCTTTCTGCAACACCTGATGGATATAAGAGATGTATCTAACTTGACTTCGGAAGCCGTTTAAAAGGACAAGATATGAGCTGCAGATGGTAGAGACCAGCACTAATAAGACAGTCTGCAAATGGAGCATTGATGTTCTGGTGCAGTATTTAATGCCATTTCTTTCTCAATGCAAATAGTGACCAAAGTTTTCACAACTTGGTACCAGTGGTTAGTTAATGCACAACTATGGAGTTAAAGACGTTACTTGCTTCTGCTGGCTAACATAAAAAGTAATTTTTTTTAAAGTTCGGAATTCAAGATGAGTCCCGAGACTTATACAACTGATTTAATTGGCTTGTATTATGTCAGTATATATATGTATTTTTTTCTGAAGATGTTATTCTTCATTAACCCATATTCGTTGGTAGTTACTTGCACACAAAGGAGGTCTGTAAATGTCATCCTGTGTTTGGAAAAAATGTTTATCATTTTCTTTCAGTGTTATTAGACAAGGTAAAACAATTAGTTTCAGTTGAGAAGTTGCATCAAATATTCTCTAAATTCCATAAATCACATACTGTATATACTGATAGTTGGGGAATTTTTTTTGAAAAAGACAGAATAAAATCTCTTTAATATTTAGCATAATTAAAGTTCAAACTTTGAGATTCCTAACGTGATTTTCGATTGAGTTACATGAGTGTTGTTTGTAAAAATGAAGTATTTGCTGGTCTTTTGACTAAATTAATTTGCTTTGACATCACCACCACTTTTACCAGTACATTGAAAAAAGTTGTTTTAACCTATTGTCTTTTTTTCTTGCTTGTAATAAGTCTAGGAATAAACAAAATTACAGTTTCATACAATCTGTTTTCTATCGAAGGATGCACTTGCTGTGAAGACATTTTTCCTCTTGTTTTAAGTTTTGATCATCCTGAGATGCTGCATTTTTCTTTCAGCTGCTGTTACTGCAATATTTCTTTTTAGAAATGAATATTAAAATTACTGACAATGTGTTCTTTCTTTCTTTTTCTTTTCTTTCAGTTTTACAAGCATGTTGTCCAGAGTGTAGAGAAGTTCATACAAAAGGTAAAGTACACCCAATTTGTCACATTCAATCAAATGCTGCATAAATTTTCAGTAAACATTATATTCAACTCTATTTTATGGCTAATGTTGGATGTAACGTTTAATAATAAACTTTAGTAGCTGCAAGTTTTGGGCTCCTGTTTCTGACACTAGGTGCCCTRATTTAGTCAGCTAATTCAAAGACAAGATGTCTGTGTAGTTGTTTGTTTAAATAACTACAGCTGTATATTTCTTCCGCAGTGCAAGCCAGAATACAAAGTCCCGGGGCTGTATGTCATCGATTCCATAGTCAGACAGTCACGCCACCAGTTTGGCACAGAGAAAGATGTGTTTGCTCCGCGCTTCAGCAAGAATATCATAGCAACCTTCCAGCACCTCTACCGCTGCCCTCCAGATGAAAAGGTCAGTTTGTATTAGTTTCTCTGCTGTTTTGCTTCTGTGGGTTGTGTTTGTGGTTTATCGTTTTACAACAGCAGTTTATAAGACAAGAGTTGGAATATAATAGAACACAGATTTCACTTACATATTGTTTRTATATCCGTCMATCCATTCATCCATTTTCTTCCCCTTATCCGGGGTCGGATCGYKGGGGCAGCAGCCCAAGCAGAGAAACCCAGACTTCCCTTTGCCCAGCMACTTGGACCAGCYCCTCTGGGGGAATCCCAAGGCGTTCCCAGGCCAGCTGAGAAACCAGCGTCCTGGGTCTTCCTCTGGGTCTCCTCCCAGTGGGACGTGTCCAGAACACCTCACAAGAGAGGCATCCAGGAGGCATCCTAACCAGATGCTCGAGCCACCTCAACTGGCTCCTCTCAACGTGGAGGAGCAGCGGCTCTACTCTGAGTCCCTCCCGAATGACCGAGCTTCTCACCCTATCTCTAAGGGAGAGCCCAGACACCCTGCAGAGGAAATTATAAATTTATAATTATAATTTATAATTTTAAATTTATATATTTATTTATTTATATTTCCATTTGTACCTAATTGAAGTATTAGGTTTTTGTAAGAAAAACATCAAATTGTATTGTATAGACCCTTCGTCCAACTGTGTCCTGGCATTTTGCTGCTTTGTCACAATTGTCATATGTTTTGTTGTGTTCAGAGTAAGATCGTGCGTGTCCTGAATCTGTGGCAGAAGAATTCGGTCTTTAAGAGTGACATCATTCAGCCTCTGTTGGACATGGCTGCGGGGATTCCTCCTCCCAGCACTACGCCTGTCCTGCCCAGCAGTGCTGCTCCAATAAATAACACTACACCTGGTAGGAAAGGGCACGTGCATGAAATAAGCGTGACATTATTTACTTTGGAATTTGATGTTATAATTGTCACTTTCTGTTTTTTTCAGGCACTCCAGCTACACCTGCCACTCCGGCAAACATTGTCCCAGGTCTGCCTGAGTGGGCATCCCAGATTACAAACACGGACACTGTTGCTGCTGTTGCACAGATCTTACAGAGTCCCCAAGGACAACAGGTTAGTGGGAAGCCTCCTAATTAAAAGTAAAAGTTGCTTTAGTTAAAGAAAATAAAGACTACAAAAAATAGAAAGAAGCAAAGAAGATGCTTTGTTTCTGTTAATAAGCAACATCAAGTTTTATTAAACTGCTAGTTTTTGATCATTGTTAATAAATTATAAATATTCTAGTTTTTATTGGTTGCCTCTGAACGATTTTTAAATTTTGCATACATGTCATTGTTAAAATGTGCTGAATACTCTGCATTGTGTTGTGTTGCAGCTTCAACAGTTGGTACAGAGTCTGCAGATGCAGCAGCAGAAGCCCCAGCCATCCTTGCTGCAGGCCTTGGATGCCGGCCTGGTGGTGCAGTTGCAAGCTTTGACAGCTCAGCTCACTGCCGCAGCCACTGCCAACAGCCTCAACCCTCTTGAGCAGAGAGTTTCCTCTTTTAATAAGGTAACACTGCCAGAAGCAGCTATTATACTGTATAATGATTTATTTCTTAGGTTTTATGGAGTTTCCTAATGTGATTGTTTTCTGTTTGCTGTAGAAACTTTTGGGTCCGTTTGACTTTGGGGGTGATTCTGAACGCAGTGAAGAATCTAAAAAAGACACCTCATCTTCTCAACTGTAAGCTTAGTTTATTATTTTTATAAAAAACATTTCAGTAGTGATTCGGAGTTTGTGTTACTTCATTGCTTCTGTCAGTTCCACTCAGTGCTAGTATCTAATTAAGCTGCTGACCACTTCTTAGGCCCATGGTGTCAGAGCCTATTAACAGCTCACTCTTTCATCAACTGGCTGAGCAACTGCAGCAGCAGAACCTGGAACAGTTTCAGAAGCAGCTGCTGGAGCACCAGCAGAAGGTAAAAGACATACACATAAAAAAACAGCATTGATTTTATTAATAAATATGCTTTTTCAGTTAATGCCTGTGATTATTGAGAAAATGTGCCATTTGTTTTCTGATGATGCTAAGCTAGTTCAGCTTTTCTTTTAAAGTTATTTGCTTTAAAGTTTGTGTGTTCTTAGTTTCTTTGTAGTCTCTAAGTTTAGGGAAATGATTCGGTTCTATATAACAAGTAGTTCTGTATTTTAATAGAGCTGTTATAAATAATGACCCGTGTCTATTAAAACTTTTTACAAGACCAACTAGCARCTACTGTTTCTACTCTTAGATCTACCTTTTAGAATCTTCACCAAAAATCCATTTTAAATATTGGCTGATGTTTTGTTTTCTCCAGGCAATGAATATAGAGAGCCAAGACTCAATCTTTGGGCAGGAAAACTCTGTTAGAACTGCACAGAACAGCAGCCAGCCGCAGCTTCCTGAGCCRGAGAGCAAGATGGATGACTCCATAGACAACCAACAGCAGGTATTTGTAGAAACTTGCTTCACACTGCATGTTATTTTTAAGCAACATTACTGCTGCTGGATTTAATTTTCCTGAAATTAACATTGACAATTTCTAGGATATGGACCTGGACGAGGGTCCTGATGGAATGGAGGAGGAGGAGGAGGAGATCTTTGAACCAGAGGAGAAGAAAACGACAAGTACACGGTCCAGAACACGTTCCAGGTCACGCTCGAGGTTTGTTCATTTTATTTTGTTTCTTACTCAACATGAATCAGTCTTTTTTTTATTATAAATTATTTAATTTACTTATTCATTTTTTTTGGATTGTGTCAAAAAATGTGGCTAAACTCAGAACTATAAACTGAATCACTTTCAAGCGTGAACTTTTAGATTGGTGATGCTTTAAGTATTAAGCAGTCATTCAAGCTGATTTGAAAGAAGCTGACTGGCTAATTGTAACGGTAACAAAAAGTCAGTATTAAGAAAAGTTTCCTAAGATGTTGTTCATTTTGTAGATCTCCTAAACGAAGAAGGTCSAGGTCCCGTTCTGGCTCTCGGAAACGCAAGCATCGCAAGCGGTCACGCTCGCGCTCCAGAGATCGCAAGAGGAAGTCTTCACGGTCTTACTCGAGTGAAAGGCGTGCCAGGGAACGAGAGAAGGAGCGTCAGAAGAAAGGATTACCTCCTATACGATCCAAGACTCTAAGTGGTAAGAGGAAGTCACTTTGGCTCGTTGTTAGATTTTATCACTTTTATTTTGTGCCAGTGATTTTACTGATGGATTGTGTTTTTCATCTTGTTTTTTTTTCTCCTTGCATAGTGTGCAGCACAACTCTGTGGGTGGGACAGGTGGACAAAAAGGCCACTCAGCAAGACCTCACAAATCTGTTTGARGAATTTGGCCAGATCGAGTCCATCAATGTAAGCAGACCTTGGTCCATGATAACACTGGTGTAATTGCATGTATCAGCCTGGTCTTTGATGTCCATCTGTTTGAWGAAACTTTTTTGATTTTCCCTCATTTTATTACTAACATTTTATTACTACAGTCTAACTTTGTTTTCTTTAGTTCACATGTTCTTTTCTCACCAGTAATACAAACCTGTTGGTGTTTTGTAGTATGGTTATATTTTGCTGCCCAACCTATGTAATATGAATTGTCTGTTTGCAGATGATCCCTCCCAGAGGCTGYGCCTACATCTGTATGGTCCACAGACAGGATGCATACCGTGCCCTCCAGAAGCTTAGTACTGGCTCTTTTAAGATTGGATCCAAGATCATCAAGGTCCCCTTTACTTTCTAATTTAATTCACGTTTACTCTATCTCTTTAATGTATTTTCTAATTTAATTTTGTCGTTGACCTCGAGTGGCAAAAGGTCTAACTTCCTGAACGCATGTTTTTATGCTGAAAGGAAATTGATTAAAAAGRGGCTGTGTTGTGATCTTTGTGTATCTGTTGATTTAGATTGCATGGGCTTTGAACAAAGGTGTAAAGCAAGAGTACAAGCAGTTTTGGGATGCAGACCTTGGTGTCACCTACATACCATGGGAGAAGGTCAAAGTAGATGACCTGGATGGCTTTGCTGAAGGGGGGATCATCGATCAGGAAACAGTCAATGATGGTATAATAACACACTTTTTCTTTCCATCCACGCTTCTTCCTTTTCTTTCCTTGTCCTTTTATTTTGTTGCATCAACAAAAGTCGGTTGATTTGGTAGCAGTCTTTATTCAAACTTACATATCATGAAAGCACAACTATCCTATCAAGCACTTTGTGGGATTTTACTTAAAGGATTTACAGGGAAAAAAAATCAAAACAAATAACTGAAWGTGACTGAGTTTATTTTTCTCCACAACTGCAGAGTGGGAAATTGTTAAGAGCACTGATCCAGCCAAGGAAGTTACAAGTCAACCAGTAAGCACCGAGGCAACAGTGGTATCCAATACACAAACTGAGACCTACAGCCAGCAGGTTACCATGATGCCTGTACAGGTACAGAAGAACTCTGTAAATAACAAGGCTCATTGAATGTTACATTGCACGAGTAGCTGTAATGTAAAAGATTCTAGTTTTTTAGAAATAATTTTATGTGTGTTTCCACGTTTTGTTTTGATTGCCTTACTTGTACATTGAAGTTTAAGTCTTAACCTTAAAGAGTTTTTTCTCCCACACTGTTATTCAGCTACCAGTGCCTCAGGCAGTTCCCAGTGCAGTAGGTTTGGTACCTCCTACTTTTCCTGTTGCGATGAGCATACCTCCACCAGGCTATGGGCCACCACCACCATTTATAAGGCCTAGCTTTAATGCCACACAGCCTCCACCAGGTTAGTACCCAAACTGTTGGCGTAAAATCTGATTTGCATACATTTTCAGTCTCACTGAGTTATTTTTCTCTGTTCGATAGGTTTTTTGCAGGCCCCGCACACAGCAGGAATGGCCCCAGTTACTACGTGTAAGATTTTTGGCAGCTCACTTTGATTATTTTCTATGTTTTTGAAATCTCCTTGTACGTGGTGATATATATATATATTTTTTGGTCATCCGTAGCTTTATTGCAGCCATCTGTGGCCACCAGTCAAGAAGCTGTCAAAGAGACACCCTTCAGCACTATGATCCCTCCAACCAGCACTATCCCTGGCAGCTTCATGCCCTCAGCCATCCCAGGACCTGGTATTTTTCCTCCAGTGGGAGTCCAAACTCAGCAGGCTAACAATGAGAAAATGCCACAGTCTGCAGAGGCAATGGGTGCTGCAGCAGATCTCGCTCTACAAGGTGAGTCATACTTTCGGTAAACGCTTTATTTGACTAAGAGGACTTTTAGCATTAAGTTACGTGATGTTCTCTTCTCAGGCATGCAGAATGCAGTCCGCAGTGGGATGGGTCTACTTGGCATGCACCCTACAGCTTCCCTCACCCATCCGCTGCATCAGTCCGGGTTGAGTGGTCAGAGAATGCCTGGGCTGTTGCCTATGGATGTTCGACCGAATCTCCTTCAACCAGGGCCTGCTGCTCGCTTCCCACTCCTTCTGCAGCAGGGTCATGCCCAGCAAGCAGCTGGCCTTCTTGACGGTTCTCTCCAGGCCCGCCCCCGGGCCCCCTTTCCTCATATGGACATCTTCAACAGGGCCCCAAACCTCACCAGTGAAAATGTGTCCAAAACAGAAGATGAGTCCTGCTCTAGAGCCGATGAGGGGAAAGACCAAGACTACCGCTTCCCACCTGTAGAAAAGCAGAGTACAGGCTTACTGCGGACCCCTCCACCAGAGCACAGAGAGACCCTTGGAGGTGGTGGAGGTCCAGGAGGAGGAGGAGGAAGGCCGCCTTTGCTTCAGACCCCTGGAACTCAGCCAGTAAGATCCAGCTTGGTGGGACGTTTGCAGGCACTTGCAGGCTTCACTCCTGATAACCGCTGGAACCAATCCAAAGGGGACTTTGATGAGCGAGATGGCATGCGAGGAGGACCACCGGCCCCAGGTGGTCCAAAAGGTTTTCAGGATGAACGCCCTCCCTCTGGGCCAAACTTCCCCAGTCGTTTTGACAGCCGTCCTGGAGCAGCAGGTGGAGCGGGACCTGGTGGGGGTCCGCAGCCCTGGAGCCGTGGAGGTGGTGCTACCTTCAGCAATGAACTTCATAAAGACCTAGATGACCGAAGACGTCCATGGGAGAGACAAAGAGACAGAGATGAAAGAGATGTTGACTTTAGGAGAGACATGAACGGTAATCGCCACAACCGTGAGCGAGAGCGCGAGCGGGATCGAGGACGAGAACGCACCAGAGAACACGAGCGCGATCGAGATAGCGACAAAGAGAAGGAGCGTGAACGTGGAGGCTGGACACCTCTCCTTCCTCTGCCTACTCCGCTCCTTCCCACCCCTCCTCTTAATCCCAACCTGACGCTGAATCAAGGCAAACTTCTGGTTCCTCTCAAATTAAACCCCCAGGTTCAGCCACGATTCCAGTCTCCACTTTTCCCTCAAAGTCAGGCCAAACCTCCCCTCCTGGGTCTGAAACAACCACTCCCTCTGGCTCAAATTAGGTCTCCTCCTCCATYGCAGACCCAAGCACCTGTTTCTAAGCCTCAGTCTGAAACTCCAGATCCTGATGAAACCCCTCCAGCACAGTCAGCTGGTTCACCCCATCCGTCATCTGACACCCAGGGTCAGAGTACATTAACCGAGCCTCCCTCTCAGCCTGAGCCATCACCACAACCAGAAACCCCATCACAAAAGAAATCACCACCTCAGACAACTGCTTCTCCAGACACTAAGTACCCAAGCCATCACTCCCCTTTGGCCCTCACACAAGCTGATAGCCCCCCTGAGGACCCCACTTCCTCTGTGGAAAAGCAGGAAGAGCCACAGAAGGCGTCCCAAGAAGAGAGATTCTCTATGCCACAACCTGAGTGGGTCAATGGACCCGAGAAGGACCATGTCAATGTGGCTGAGCCTACACCAGAACCTGAACATCATTCTTTGCTCATTGAAACTGAAACTGAGCCGAAGCAGGAGCAATTATCATCTCCTAGGGACCTAAACAATGAACAGAAGGAGCCCCTGGAGGAAGCTCTGAGTCAGCCAGTGGTAGACACTGTCACAGACACTGAGGGGACATAATCATCACTCAGTAGGTAAAAGATCATTTTGTAAAGTTGTCTCTTCTTCTCTGTACTCATGTCAGCAAAATACCACCACAACACGGGACATGACGAACATTGACTCACACCAGTTGTTGTCTGATAACCAACAACAAATGATTTTATCTCTTACAAATCCCAGTGTACTTAAATAGAAGGGTTTATTAATAGAATATTTTGTTTGTGTTTTATTTCCTTTTTCCTTTTTTTAAGTTGTGAAACCACACCACCCCTTTTAATTAATATAAGCTTTTGAAATTTTATTGAACTGTCTGCCATAATGTTTCAATTGTATATTGGGAAATTTAGCTTTGACCTTCCTATGGAAGAAAGCGAGAAATCCTGGCTGTTCAACAACGAATTGACTGCAGAAAATGTGATACTTGAAAACAGCAGCTGCTTGCCAATTTCGTCTGTCTTCTCTTCTTTTTAAAAATATGCTGCAAAGTTTTGCAGCAAAYGCTTTTATTCTGTTTCCAAGCAGAACAAATGTCCTACATGCAGTCAGACCAGAACAGCTGCTTTAAATTGGAAAATAACATTTAATTCAAATAAAAGTCAAACTGTTGTATCTACTAAAATAAGAAAGATCTGTAATTTGTTTCTAGTAATACCATGAACGCAAAAATAAAAGTAAATGCGAGATTTAAAAAAAAAATTCAGAAAATGAAGAGTAGGATGTTCTGATGTTGGGTACATAATGTTTTAGGTTGAAATAAACATGCTTTGTCTGTTTAAAACACATGCTTTAGGACTGTTTTCAGACCCAGGACCAGTGGGGGGTKGGGGGGAGACCACTTTACTTTTCAGATTTGTACACACTGTGTGCCGTCACTTCAGTCGATTTGATGATCTCAAGTTGCTGCTATACCATCTATCCACAGAGCACTTTGTTGGATGCAACCATGGGACTTGTAGTTTCTAGCTTCTGATGACTTCAGCCTGTATGTTGGCCTAAGCTTTTGCTGGGTGACTGRTGATGATAGCATTGTGCCTTTTTTTGAATGGATTTGTGGTTCACGATGCTACCCAACACTTTTGCGTGACGTACACCAGACTGTGCGTGCAGCTCAGTGTTAATGGGCTCTCTGGAGAGAATGCTACCTGCACAGAACTGACTTACCTACTGATTGAATGATAGCTGCGCAGTTTGTACAGCACTCACCTAAAGGAGAACAATATGTCCTCCATCAGAGTGTGCATGCAGGCCTGTAGCCATGTTTTAACCTTCCTGTCTCTCTTCTTCATTTCATAATTGTAGTGGTTTTCTGTTGAAACATACTATCAGAAATCTATAGTCTGCTGTTCTTCCAGAGCAAATGTCTACTACAGGAGTTGTGTTTAATAAAAGTTGAAGGTGCATCAGATATGTTGACGTTGTTATTGTCATAAATTCTAATTCAGGCAGATTAGATGACTTATTTCACACACAGCACTCTAATTTGAAGCTGATAACAAATTGTTGGACCAGACACACGTAAAACCTAAAACCATATCGTTTGAAGATATTGTACAATTAAATAATCCTAATTTGTATAAATTATATCTAATTATTTTGACTTGGTCTTGTTTGAAAATGTCACAGCAAAAAATAATAAAATACACTTAGACAAAACAATGTTAGACACTGCAAAAAGGATTCATACTAACAATCAGCAAAGATTTGAGCCTCCAGCACCAACACTACAACTAATAAAAAATAACACTGCAACTTAATTATTATCGTATTGAGTCACAAACTTTTATCAGTAAAAAAAAGCTTTATATCATAATAATGTACAAGACATATACAGATCATTTCATTTATTTATACAGGTTAGTCTCATTGAAACAATTCTTATTTGCAAGTGAGACCTGTTATACAAAAATAAAACAGTAAAATCAATACAACCAACAAAACACATAAAAATGAACACATCAACAAAAGCACATTGAAATAGATTCAAACAAAAGCTACCCTAACTTTAAAAGTAATCAAAATCGAAAAAACAGCTCAAACAGGAGAGAGTGTTTATGGATGTGATCTCTAGTTCTTTCATTAAAAGTTTAAATTTCTTGAAGGTAACAACACTGATCACATCAACAAATTGAATTTCCACCTGCGCTCATTAAAGTATCCGTCTGCCAATTTATTTTAATTTACTTAATAAGGCTGTTGAAGTGCCAGTTTGAAGACGCAGCCACAGAAACAGGGCACAGAATAATTTCCTTTTTTATAAAAGATGGTCAAGGAGATAAAAAAATGCATTGAAACAAATTAATTTTGCATTTAAAATAAGACCAAACTCAATTTTTAGTTTGTCAGTATACAGTGGTTTGCAAAAGTATTCATACCCCTTGAACTTTTTCATATTTTGTCACATTACAAC